TTGCCTGTCACTGGTCTAGAAAGAAGATCCTCTAATCTCAGCCGTCTCACAAAGCTAGGGTGACAGGTATGCACTGAGCCCAACTCTTGGTTGAGAAGAGGTCTTGTGAATTTTTTTGCCCAAACTGGCCTTGAACTGTAATCTTCTCAATCTCAGCCTCTTGAGTAGTCAAGATTATAAATATGAGCCTCTGTTTACTCATACGCTCATATGCTAGAAAGTAATTAGTGAGATTTTCTTTGACAATATTAATTTCTCACCCTAAATTCCTTGGATTCAAATCTAGCTTTGACTCTCCCTAGCTCCAGTGTTATTTATGATCCTTAAGTCCTCTCTGCTTCTGCTGTGGGAAATGCTGCACAGGTCTTTTTTTGCTCATTCTTATATTCTGCTTTTAAACAATGAAGATCTTTAGATTTAATTACTAAATTAGAATTTTAAGCAATTGAAAACATTCTAATGGGAATAGCTAAAATGAACAGCCCTTTATACCTGGCCCATCCTTCAAAACGTGAACACTGAAGTTTCTCTGCTCAGTGATTTTTTTTTCCACTAGTAGATTTCGGACATGCAAAATTGTTAAAAGTAGGGAAAAATTAAAACTTGTCTTAAAGGAAAACTTTCAAGTATTAATAAATCTTTAAATCATCTCACACGAATCCTCCCACATTTAGTTAAATCTTTAAATGGAGTCATATTTTTTGTAAAAATGATATATGTGCTATGTTTTCCAAAGAAATATTTAACTCTTAATCACTTGCTATGTTTTATCTAAAGATTTTGAGCTGGTACAATTAGACTATATAACTCAGGGGACCTCAATCTTGTTTTGGCTACTAATGTCTTCTTTTAGCTTTAGTTTAAGTTACTTTCCCCTTCAAAGACTAGGAGTTCTCAGCTATGAGAGGCAGAGGTGGGCAAAGTCAGTGTTTCTCAGAGTGTGGTCCATGAGCTCCTGAGGTTCTCTGGATGATAAGGCCAAAATTGCTTTGATAATAAAATGAGGAGGCTACCCACAATCTTTCCACTGTGTTGGTCTTTGCAGGGACAGCACTAAAGAAACAGTAACAAGTACTGCATGTACTTTAGCATGAATCCAGGCCGACCAAGCACCCCACCGAGTCCCCACACAGTCACTGTGCAAGTTCACTGCCACACATTTGCAGCACACAAAAGCTACTAGGTTTTAGTAAATCAGTCTTTTAATACTATGTGACACAATAAAGCCCTTAGCTAGTAACAGAAAGCTGAAAAATCCAACTAAATTTTTCATTCTTTTATTTTTAAATTTTATTGTGAAAATACCGTACAGAGGGGTTACAATTACATGGGTAAGATAATGAGTATAGTTCTTATCAAGCATTGTTGCCTCCTCCTGTTTCCCCTTCCCATCCCTTCCCATTACCTCCCCCCAGCTCCCCTTACCTGATCCTCCCCCCACCCCCCAAAAAATCTTTCATTCTTTAGAAATGAAAATAAAGTGAATGTGAACAGAATTCACCTTAGTCTCAGTAATAGTGAACAATACTCTGTATCACATTATGTCATTAAAGAATCTGACATGAAATGTTGAAAAACTGCTAAGTAACAATATTCTCCTTAATGGAATTAACTGCCACACTTCAGTAGTATCTGCCTTACCTATTACATGTGCCAGCATATACACTGTTGATTTTATATGGTAAAAAAATCTATCAGGAACAATTGTAAATTACTCTCCAATGATTTTGTAAATTAAAAATCGACACTATTGATGTAAAACAATCTTATACATATTTATTAAACTATTAAATCTTAAACTGAAAATGATTTTTGCCAAGCATTAAGAAATTATAAAGTTCTATAAAATATCAACAGTGTAGTGTATGTATTTTATTAACTAAGTTTTCTCTGGTAAAATGAGAAGACAGGACATTTAGAAGGCTACATAAGAGGAAGATAATATACAGATTAGAACCAATATTTTGTTGAAATAAAATCAGTCTTACTATTTCCTAACAAAGGGGAAATGCCATTCTTTCTGATGGAGGCACAGAATTCCACTGTGTATATATACCACATTTTCTTGATCTACTGAAGGGCATCTGGGTTGGTTCCATATCTTAGCTATGGTAAATAATGCTGCAATAAACATAGTTGTGCTGGTAGCTTTAGTGTGGTCTTGTTTGTAACCATTTGGGTAAATGCCCAAAAGTGGGATTGCCAGGTCATAGGGGAGCTCTATGTGGAGTCTTTTGAGGAACCTCTGTACTTTCCAAAGTGGTTGAACAAGTTTACACTCCCACCAACAATGCAGTAGGGTTTCCTTCTGGCCACATCCCCTCCAGCATTTGTTGTTATTAGAGTTCTTGATTCTAGCCATTCTAACTGGGGTGAGGTGGAATCCCAGATGCCCCTCAGTAGATGAATGGATCAAGAAAATGTGGTATATATACAATGGAATTCTATGCCTCCATCAGAAAGAATGACATTGCCCCATTTGTTAGGAAATTAAAGACTTGGAAAAAGTTATATTAAGTGAAGTAAGCCAGGCTAAAAGAAACATAGGTCCCAGGTTTCCCTTATTTGCAATACCTAGTATATGTCTGAGACAAGCAGAAATGGTCAGATAAGTTGATGTTAGGCGAAATGAACCCCAAGATAAGGATTCAAATGTTTTTTTCTTTCTTGTGATTGTTTTTAACATATTTACAAGATGATTTCTTCGTTGCTTTGTATGTCCCTCCCCCATTGTATAACCGCTGTTTTCACTGTATTTGATGTTGGTATAATTTGTGGAGGGGAAGGGAAAAACAAATTGTTTAAACAGAGATACAGGTGGATCCATTGCAACAATGAGACATACAAGACGTTATGTCGAAAAACGAACTTTACAACTTTGGCAGGGGGCAGAAGGGGGGAAATAAGGGGGAAAGGGATGGTAAGGGGAAACAGGAGGAGGCAACAATGCCCATGTAATTGTAACCCCTCTGTATGGTATTTTCACAATAAAAAAAATAAAAAATTAAAAAAAATCAGTCTTACTTGAGTTTAGACTGGCACTTAAATAATACTTTATGATTATGTCTGCTTATCTTTCATACATTTGTCTATTACTGTTTATAGTTTTTTAAAAAAATAACCACCCATCTAACAAGGTCTCCAAATAAAAAAGCATGAACTATCTCCCTGCATATCACCTGCTTTCCCCACAAAGATAACTACCTTATGAATATCTTGTTTATCCCTCTGGAGATTTTTTTAATGCATCTAAAAATACTACTTGAATAGTACATAATTAATGTAATATTATTAATATAGTGCTCAACACTTTAATTTGTTAATATTTAATAATATTAAATGATCTTAATCAAATCTAACACTGCCAGTAGGACTCTGTACATTCAATCCATTTAAGACAGGTGGAGGTCTTGCTGTGTGAAGCACAGAGCCTCTCCCTTCTTCTGTTCTGTAGCCTGGCAGAATTCCACTGCATGGCTATACAGATATACTGAACTGGTCCCCTCCTGAAGGACTTGTAGGTTGCTTTCACTCTTCTGCTATCAAGCAAAGAAAAACACTTTGTACAAATGTCATTCTACAAGTAACTATCTCTGTTGTAAACCTACAGAAAGAGGAAAAAGCTGTATAAAGACAAGTGCTGAGTTGGAGCATGAAAGCAGTTCATATTTTTCATCATATTTCTGAATCACTGCCCCACAGGGGTTATATCTACTTGCAGACATAGAGACTATTTCTCTTACATCTTTGATAAAATCTTTTAGGTTTTTGGACTTTTCCATTCTGATAACTGAAAAATAATATGATTATTTTAATGTCTGATTTTCATTTACATTTCCTTTTTTTAAAAAAAATGAGGCTGAATGTACTTGCTCATTTTTAAAGCTATTTGTTTTCCCTTTTGGATGAATTATAGTTAATCCTTTGCTGATTTGCCTATTCCATGTAGACATTTTCTCAGTGATTTCTAGGAGTACCTTATTTTGAGAAACTATTTGCAATATATGAATTGTAACCTCCCACCTCCACCTTGGTTGCTGTTTTCTGTGTCTGTGTGTGCATACATGCATGCATGCACACATACGGGTTACTCCTGGAGTTGTACTCAGGGCCTCACACTCTCATTTGGAATTTTTTGCTCATGGCTGGTGATTTACTCACTTGAGCCACATCTCCACTTCTTGCTTTTTGTGGGTTAATTGGAGTTATGATTTTTTTTAATGACTTTTCTGCCTGGGTTTGACTTCCAATCTTCATTCTTAGATCTCAGCTTCCTGAATAGCTCAGATGTACAGGCAGGAGCCACTGGAGCCACACTAGTTTCTATTAGCAAATAACAATGTAATAAACATCTTTTGTGGTTAAACTTTTCATATTCTTTGTTTATGTATAAAATTTGTTAATGTACTTTTGTACATCCTGTACTTTTTTAATTACTTTCTTTCTCCTGAAAGAAAGAACTTTTGAAGATAAGTGTTGAGGACCTTCATGTTATTCTTTCCTTTCTTAGGTTTTAGTAATGGAAGCACTTGAGCTTTATGTTTTCTAGAGGAAACGAGATGCTGGCCACATTATGAGTTTTTCTACAGTGTCCTAAGGTTATTTCTGAAAGCTGTAATTCCATTTTTGATGTCTTTCTTGACTCAAGTGTTAATTAGGAAGTATCCTGAATTTGTTGGTTTTCAAAGATTATTTTTTCTTGTTGTTAATGTCTGTTTTTTATTGCATTGAGTTGAAAATTTCAATTTATGACTTCTTTCTACATTTAAAGATTTTTCTTTTTCTTTCTAAAACCAAATTGGAGTCATATTTTGCTTAATCTTAAATTTTTTTCCCTCAATTTTTAAAGGCTGTACACAAGGATAATATTTATGTTATCGTCACATCTAAGCCTCTACACATCACCAAACACTACTGTTTATGATGTTCTGGCTCTATATAAAAATATACGGAAGTAAAGGAAAACTGATAAAATTTCCAATGAAAAAGCAGAATGTTACCTGAAACATATCCGTATCTTTATCATGGGTGTATTCCACTACCACCGTCTGATTCCTTGACAAAGTGTAGGATATGCTGTGTTGACCTTTAGAGCTGATGGCCTAGTCATGAGATAAAAAGGAACAAAAACTCATTATGATTTTGTCTTAAAAACTTGTCACAATCTAGTTTGTAGTTATGCATCAGCCCTCTACCAGGAGAATGCAACATAGGCCAGCATCCTCCTAACACTCCGTCTGTTCCTTGAACTGTAGACGATCCAAAAACCATGACTTCAGGTTTATAACAGGTTTCCCATCTTAAGGTAAACAATATTGTGTTTAAATCAAATCAAATATACTTTATAAGTTTGCAAGACTTGATTTAACCATTATGTTATATTACCTACACCTGGAAAGAATTTTTAGACTAACTGTAGTCACTGAGTTACTTAAAAAAATAAATTTCAATGAACTTTACAACTTTGGTGGGGGGGAGAGGTTTGGGTGGGGGGACGGGGGGGGGGAGAGGCTGGGAAGGGATGTGAAGGGTAAACAAAGGAGGAGGCTACAATGCTTGATAGGAAATGTACTCATTATCTTGCCCATGTAATTGTAACCCCTCTGTACAGTATGTTCACAATAAAAAAAATGTACTCATTATCTTGCCCATGTAATTGTAACCCCTCTGTACAGTATTTTCACAATAAAAAAAGAAATAATGCAAAAAAAAATTTCATCATGCATTAAGTTAATAGCATGTTTTTTGAGGTTACAGAAATTACAAGCACAGTAAAAGGGTCAATAAAAAAAACTGTCGGATAGATAGATAGATAGATAGATAGATAGATAGGATAGAAGAAGAAAGAATGAAACTACCATAGTACCAGAATAAATTATGTTATGGCTATGGAATTATTAAAAACTTATATTTTTATTATTTCCCTTAATGTGGTTTTAATTAAAAATAAAGTAGTTGAGATGCAAAAAAAAAAAACTGTCGATGTCCTGCAAAGATTTCTAATACACTATCCCAGCCAATGACAAGTTACTTTGTTCTGTATCTCATTTACATATCTTGTGTAAGCAGTTGTTGAACCCAAACAGTGAGTTAATAAAACATGACAGCATATGGTAGCACACCCTTATAATTCTAGTACTCAGTATGCAGAGGCAGGAGGATCTCAAATTCAAGGCTACCTAGAGCTTCACAGTTCAAGGGCAGCCTTAGCTACACAGTGAGATCATATCTAAAACAAACAAACAAAAAACACCTCCTCCTGTCCCCCCAAAAACCCAAACCAAAAGAAAATATTCTTGTATTTTTTTCTCCTGGTTTTATATAAGAAAAAGCTAATATTCTTATTCAAATAATCTAGGACTAGCAAGACAAAGTATTGCTCTATTTTCTCCATTATGGTATATTTAAATACATCTTAAGTTGGTCATATACTTTTAGTATTTCTAAATTAACAAAGAAATTGATTTAAATTGTACTTCAAATTATTGCAATTACATTTTCTCCATTACTTTAACTTAATTCATCTTCATTTCTACCCTTGCACATTAAGTACAATACATAAAACTTTAATGAGCCTTTCTATTAAACATTTATTGAATGATGATACTGTATGAACACCAAGAAAGCCTTTAGAAGTAGCTAGCCATATACAGAATATTAATGAAAAATGTACTCTTAAACACTGGTATTTGACTGCTGTAAATTCTTAGAACAATAAACAGTACAATATTCCAAATCATGTTTGAAGTTGGCCTGGTGAAACTCATGGTCATTTAAAAACTTTTCCCAAACAACTGTCCAATTAATAAGTGAGCTAAAGACTTAAAGAGAAACTTCTCTGAAGAGGAAATAAGAATGGCCAATAGACACATGAAGAAATGTTCAATTTCTCTAGCCATAAAAGAAATGCAAATCAAACAAGACTGAGATTCCACCTCACCCCAGTTAGAATGGCTAGAATCAAGAACTCTAACTACAGATGCTGGAGGGGATGTGGCCAAAAGGCATTGCTGGTGGGAATGTAAACTTGTTTAACCACTTTGGAAAGCAGTATGGAAGTTCCTCAAAAGACTCCACATAGAACTCCCCTATGACCCAGCAATCCCACTTTTAGGCATTTACCCAAAGGATCACAAACAAGGCTATACTAAAGCTGCCAGCACAACTATGTTTACTGCAGCATTATTTACCATAGCTAAGATATGGAACCAACCCAGATGCTCCTCAGTAGATGAATGGATCAAGAAAATGTACGGAAGTAAAGGAAAACTGTGATAAATTAACAAAGAAATTGTTATACATATATACACACATACATACATACATATATATATATATATATATATATATATATAATGGAATTTTTTGCCTCCATCAGAAAGAATGACACTACTCCATTTGTTAGGAAATGGAAAGATGGAAAAGATTATATTAAGTGAAGTAATCCAGGCCCAAAGAAACAGGTCCCGTGGTTTCCCTTATTTGCAATAACTAGTATAAGTCTAGAACAAGCAGAAAAGGTCAAAAGCTATGTACACATGACCATGTGAGATGATGCTAAGCGAAATGAACCCCAAGATACAAGGGTTTTATCTTTCTTGCTGTTGTTTTTAATGTATCTATAATGTAACATGTGATTCTTTTTGTTTCTTTTGTACGTTCTTTCCCCATAGTATATAACCCCTGTTGTCACTGTATTTGATTCCAGTGCCCTGAATCTTGTATATACATTTTTCTAATTTGGGGAGGGGAAAGGAAATAACAAAATGCTGAAATAAGGATACAGGTTGACCCATTAAACAATGAGATGTATAAGACACTATGTTGAAAATGAACTTTATAACTTTGGGGGAGGGGAGGAGCTGGGGAGGTGGGAAGGGAATAGTAGGGGAAAAACCAAGGAGGTAACAATGCTCCATAGAAAATGTACTCATTACCTTACTCATGCAACTGTAACTCCTCTGTACAGTATTTTTACAGTAAAAAAATATACAAAAAAGAACTTTTCCAAAAGAAACTTAATGATTGAATTGATATTTTAGATGCTTTTTTAAAGATAATAAACCTATTAAAGGTAATGTGGAGCTTTAACATGCTCAGGAATCTGAAAAATACTTCTTAAACTGGTTATTTCCACTAACAAATGGAAATTTTCACATTTTTATTGTTCCAACTTGACAAATTCAACTTTGATATTTGAAAGCCATATTTATAGAGAACTACTTCTACTTTAAGGTATGTATCCAGATGATACAGATGTGGTAACTGACCCGATTTTACTTACAGTTCCTCAGGTATAAAAGCCTGTCACCTATGATGTTCATGCACTATTAGCATTATTCTTTTTTTTTTTTTATCATAACTGACCTAAAAAAAGGGAGTTAAAGCTCATTGGCCTTATTGCATTAAGGCAAAAACTAAATGTGTAGAACTTCACTTTCTCTCCTTAAATACAAAGCAGCTGCCGAACAACCAGTAATTACAAAATGGATTTAGTCTTCCAAATGAGTTTCATACACAGCTCCTTCATTGGCCATAACTTTCTGTTCTGGAGACAATAAGGTACTATCTATCCATGTTCTCTTGAATCTGGGCTTGGCTGGCCGTGGTGCCTGGCCCATGTGAGGTGGTGGAGGTGTCTGATGTGGAGTCCCCTAGCTGAGTTAGAAGCTGGGCACTTCTATTTGCCAGTCTTGGAGTTGGCAGCCTGACTCCTCAGATACCTGCTATGAGAAGCCCGAGCCAGTAACAGGCCCTGGAGAATAATCTGTGATATGGGGAGAGGAGGGCCAAGAGGACCAGGATGGGAACACGGCGAGTAAGAAACAGCTTCGGAGAAGGTGCTCTGGTTCCAGCTCCGGTTCCAGCTGCCCCCACGGTGAGGCCAGTCCCAGGACATGGCTTCACACTCCATCCTGGATTTTTTGGAGGGTCTACCAAAAGACCCCACTGTAAGCTGTTCTCAGTGATGTCATGTCTTGGAACTCTTTTAATAAAGCCTGGAAAAGCACACATAGACTCTCTGCTAAGATGTCTAGTGTCTTTGGGATAGCTTTTCTTTTCAGCCACTTTAACTATTAACTTCCATATGAAATTTAGTATTTCAGTCCATTGTTCATTTAAATAAATAAACGTGAAATGACTGCTGCAGAGACCATTTGATGAAATGGGCACAGTGAGGCCCTCTCAGTGACTGCCCGCTCGCAGCAGATCCAGCAGAATATTCTGCACCACAGTATTTTGCTGTGGAAGCAAGTTAATTGCCACAGGAAACAATAATGCACCCATCTGGGGGCAGGTCTAATGGGCTCAAGGAACTGCCTTGTTTTTATTCAGAAACAACCTTGGATATGTTATATTTGTGACAGAGACATGCACACTTGTGAGCAATTGAACTAATTTCCTGTGACTGCATAGCAACCTGGAAATAGTGTACACTATAATGCTGGGCAGTCATATTCCCTAGTATGAATACCACAGAGTATCATGGGTACTATACAGGCATACAAAGCTGCCATGGGAGAAATCACAGTGTCTCACTGCAAAGTTTACTGGCAAATCAGCACACTAAACATCGCTGATGCCGATGCAGTTAATCCCAATCTGAGCACTCCAACTTCACGTGTACTTTAGGAAAGCAGAACACCACCACAGGTGGATGCTTCAGAGATCAACTTGGCTAGCGATTCCTGAGGGAACAGCACACTGGATCAGGTTTGAATTCCAGCTCAGATACTAACTACAGCCAAGTTACACTCCCCCTCTCATTCTTTAGTTACCACCTCTCTCTAATTCATCAACAAAGGGGGTCCAGGCCCGTAGCACCCATTTCAACGTATTCAAAGTCGAGGCAGTGCACATTTTCTTTCCGCACATGAGAACCTGTCCTTAGAGCACAGCTTCATGACCCTAGGCACTTGCCACCAGTTCCCCTGTAGTCCGCCCCATGTGCTTTGGCTTTAAATATACATCAGATATTGACTGTATTAATTAGAGATAATCCTGGTATGACAAACATGTTTTTCCAGAACTAATGACTTTTATGTCAGGATGACAAGTATAATTAGGCAATAAATCCTCAATCAGTCTGGTTCAAATTGCT